GTGTGGAATATAACATCGTTCAAATGTCCGCTGTGGCTTCGCTAGGTGAGCGCATCCGAAACGTCCAATTTTTCATGACTCTGGCACATAAATCAAGCTGAATTTGACCATGACATATAGGTTATGTTTGCTTTAAGGACCGCTGTGGTTTGTGACTTATTCGTATATACCTGCGCCTTAAGGAAAACTCACAAGAAAAAGTCTAATGTGGTCAAATCGCACGACTTTGGTGGCCAGTTCACATCACCTCCATGTGAGATGACCGTGCCCTCAAATCGTTCGTGCAGATAACCCAGTGTGACACGTAGCGCCGTCCTGTTCAAACCACATGTCATTGGTGTCCAGGTCATCCAATTCAGGCCAAAAGAAATTTGTAATCATCGATCTATAGTGATGTCCCGGCCAATGTCTTTCTCGAAGACCGATTACGCCGGCAGCCCACAATCCACACCAAACAATGATTTTTTTAAGGATGCATTGGATGCTCATGTGGATTGGTATCGTTCCAAATTCGACAATTTTGTTTGTTCACGTACTCATTCATTCAGGGTGCAGACAAAAGTCACGACGCAAAATTCGCCAAGTTGTGGTCTGCAAGAGGCCGAGTTCATGACTTTCGTCGACATACGGGTGTTGGTCGATCGTTTACTGAACCAGTGGACTCAAATTTATCCACCATATTGCAAATAGTCCTCTCGGTAGGATGATTATGGCGACCGTAAAATGGGCGAAGCGCGCGGTACGTTGCCCGAACAAAACACCCATTTCGATAAAACAATTTTATTATTTGCACGTGTTGTTGAATACTATATCTGTCCATGGTGATTTGGCGAAACAGATTGAGTAAATGACAACTAATTTGACAGATGTAACTTCAACAAGATAGCCATTATCGATTGTCAAAGTTCGGAAGTCCCTGTTGGAAGAACCTATATTTTATTGGTAGAATCTGAATGATTATATATGAAGAAAAAAATAACCCTATCAATTTAAAGAAAAAAAATTTCTAATAACAGATTTATCAGTCATACATGGTCCTAAAAACCATCTTTCAATTATAAAAAACTGCGTAAGACTATTTTCAACTCAAATGATCTTTGGTAGATAAAATGAGTGAACTATTATATGATGAAAATAAATCATGTTTTATCAAACATGTCTTGTACTGTCACCATCTTAATCATTGAAATGTAAAAATTGCTATGTCAAAGTAAAATAGATCTTTCGAAAAGCAGGGTCATCTTTAAAGTCCAATTCTAGAATATTTCTCATTTATTATTTTCCTTCTTCTACTTATCAAACAAAAATATATTTTAACAAAACATTCTTGTAATACTAGTAGGGACAATTTGGATAGCAATTGGAAAAAATAATTTTTTAGATTCCACCGTTATATCTATTTGTAAGATAATAACAATACTGGTCAATAAAAAATTACCAACCTATATTCTTAACCATTATATCCTTCAGCTCATTTAATTCGTTATGAACCTTGCTAACAGTGTCAATATCATGGGATTCAGAATAACGTTTCATTTCACTGGCCAATATCCTCGAAAATTCAGGGTTCATTGCATATGCCACAGCTGTGTTTGCACTAGAAGCATAAGCAGATTGAAATCGATTTTTTATCTCAGTCAGAAATAAGAAGGCTCGGCTACGTTCAAATTCCTGAAACAGAAATTACAAGTTGCTAGAACCTATACAATACATATTATATAAAATAATGTAACAGCCTATGACTCTTTTGAGTAGGAATATGAAT